GCCTGGTGATGGGTATTAAAGAGGGCACGTACTGAATGGAGCACTGGGTGTTATATGCAAACAATGAATCATGGAACACTACATCAAAAACTAATGATGTAATGTATGGTGATTAACATAAAAAAAAAGTTGTCTTAAAACTTAAAACTCACTGGCTAGAAGCTGGAGGGTGACCCTCAGAGCTGGAGGGTACAAGAGGTGCCAGGGAAGGAGATCAAAGGGAGAAGGGATGAGTGCAGAGCTGGGCAGGGACTGGGTCTCCCCAGAGGAGCAGCTACAGGCAGAACACACACAAACTTCTTCTTCCCTCTTGCCGGAAGCCTGCAGGCCCCCACCCTGGGGTTATAATGGGGCTCAGGCTCCAGCTCCCTCCTCACTGCTGAGGCCACTCTCATCGTCACTCTGACTGGACCCACTGGGCAGCACCATGTCAGTCTAGGTCCTAGGTCCTTGCTAGTTCATAACTTTCCCAGACTGCCTCATACTAGCCTGCGTCAGGGGCAACTTCCTGCCTTAAACTCTCCCAATGCAGCTTCTGGCCTAAGTCTGACCTGCTGCTGAATGCTGGGAAAGGACAGGCTACCCAACACCCTCAGGGATCTCAGCTGCCCTCAGATGGTCACCAGAAACTACTGTGAGTAAGGACAGTCAGGGGCTCCTGGGAAATTTAGATTCCTGGGCCCCAACCCATGCCTGAGCCAGTCTCTCTGGGAACCTGTATTTTTGACAAGCTCCCAGGTGAGTCCGAGGCAGGGCATCCAGCCCATCCACTGTCTCTAAGTGGAAGAGATCCCAAGAGCTCTGCTGTGAGTGAGGAGAGCCTAGCAGTGAGTGGTCAAGGCCTTCTACCCAACATACCTCCAGGTTGCCGGGCAAATTGGAAGATATGGACGCGGGTGCCAGTGCTTCCTGCATCAAACATGATACCGTAGAAAACCTCGTGACCACGTGCAGCTGTCCCTGGGGGACTGTGAGCCTGCTGGCCCCTCCGGGCCCCCGATGCCACCTCTGTGATGCTGAAAAAGGCCTGGGTGGCAGAGGCCCAGTGCCACTTGATGTAGGCGACATAGATGAACAGGCAAATGAACAGCCCCAGGGGGTACACCACCTTTGTCATCTTCAGGTTTCCATTATTTGGTATTTTTCTCATTTCTCTGTCTGCTGAGGACTGTGCTGCAGTTGCTGGAGGAAAGGGAGGAGAAGCAGGAAAAACATGTCAGGCTACAAGCTTCTGGGGCAAGTCAGAAGTCCCTGTGCTCAGGGACAAAACATTGAGCCAGAAACTGGTCTGCATTTTCCCCCTGGAATCAGAAGCTTCATTCAGTCCTCAAAGTGCTTCCAGAAGGTGTGAGCCCATTTTACAGAAGAGAACAGGAACCGGGTTTTACAAAGACTAGATAACTTGTTTGAGGTGGTAGGTCCTGGAGGGTCTGACTTGGGGCACAGACCCACAACTGCTGGCTCTAAGGCCTGAGCCTGGTCCCCAGCAAGTGCTGTTCCAGACAAGTGGCTTTGGGACTTGTTGCCACTTCAAAGAGCCACATGTAAATGGTGTCCCCAAACCTTTTAAGGTACGGGAACACATGTCCAATCCATTCTTTAAATTCTCACTTCCTCTTCTATACAGATACTTAATTCTTAGAAGGCTTAAAGTCTCATCCCTTGGGGACTACAGAGAGCCCCAGCCATGTCTGAGAAACACAGCTCATTTCTCTGGAAGTTTTACAGGAGATGTCTCTTTTCACTCATGTACTACACTCCGCCAAGGAGGAAATAATGCCTGTGTGCTTTCCAGCCTATGAAAATCTTACCTGAGTAGCAAAAGAACTAACTCAGCACCACTGTCTTTGGTTCAATGCCCCCTGTGCCCCCAAACGAAAGCATTTGTTCAGGCTTTCTTAGCAGCTTCTGGTGTAACACACCATGCGGGAACCTGAGGCTTCAAAGGACAAGAAGTGAGGTGCTTGATTCTCAGGGATACCCTACCCTTGGGGAATGTCCACCTGTGTCCATCCCTGACTTTGTCAGTTGTGGCAAGTGCAGTGGACACTCCTAGAGGTAAGGAGACAGGAAAGTGCCATTTTGAAAGCAAGACACATAACAGACCAATATGAACATGGATGGTGGAATAGGGGGCCCTAGGCCTTTGTTACCCCATAGAAATATTAAAAAAAATTGGGACTTGTTAAAATATTTTTTATAAGAGTCCTGAAAAACAGTCAAAGATCTATAGATCTATAAGCAAATGCCCAATCAAGAAGTCACATTCAGGGATGCCTGGGTGGCTCAGTCAGTTAGGTGTCTGTCTTTGGCTCAGGTCATGATCCCAGGGTCCTGGGATTGAGTCCTGCGTTGGACTCCTTGCTCAGCAGGGAGCCTGCTTCTCTCTCTGCCTGCCACTCCCCCTGCTTGCATGTTCTCTCTCTCTGACAGATAAGTAAAATCTTTTAAAAAATAAACTTAAAAAAAAAGTCACATTCAGAATGGTCGGAAGTTTTGTGGTGTTTACTCACCCTTGCTCCACCCCTCCCTGCATAGCATGGTCTAAAGGAAGCAGCAGTCCAGTGCCTATTTCCTTCCCTCAAACTGGAGAGAGCAGAACAACATCCTAACCTGCCTTGGGGCTGGTCTCTGTTTTGCCCGACTTAGAACTCAGAGCTCAGATGGGGGAAAAGTGTGGAAGGCCGTTGTGGGTACCACTTTTTTTTTTTTAATTTTTATTTATTTATTTATTCATTCATTTATTTTAAAAGATTTTATTTGTGAGAGAGAGCGAGAAAGCGTGCACGCACAAGCAGGGGAAGCAGCAGGCAAAGGGAGAAGCAGGCTCCCCGCTGAGCAGGGAGCCCGATGTGGGACTTAATCCCAGCGGATCATGACCTTAGCTGAAGGCAGGCGCTTAACCGATTGAGCCACCCAGGCATTCCAGTTGTGAATACTTCTTGTGAAAGTCACAGGGTGACTACAGAGCCAAACATGCCTGAGGCAAGAGGCTGGGTATGTGTTTGGGGGGAAGAAATAATAGAACATCAAAGGCCTAAGAAAGAGCATGGCTGAAACTGTTTGAGAAATTAAGACATTTAAAAGCAGCCATAATATATGGGGGAATTGAAACTAACACACACACAGGCCTAGGCAACACATGTTCAGAAAAAATCCTGAGAAGACCTTAAGCCTTTGCCTTGGGCTGACTCCAAGGCTCAGACACATCCCGTTAATTAGTGAAGGTCTTTCATGGCACAGAGCCAGTCTGCAAAGACTGGGAGAGGTGGCTATTTTCTCAAATGCTCAATTTTTCAACAACAACAAAGATCACAAGGCATATAAAGAAACAGGAAAATATGGTCCATTCAAAGAAGAAAAAGTGGCAGAAACTGTCCCTGAAGAAATACAGGCATTGGATGTACTAGATAAAGACTTAAAACAACTGTCTTACATATGCTGAAAGAGCTAAAGAAAACGTAAGAACTGAAAGAAACTAGGAAAATGATATAGGACAACAAAATGAGAGTATCAATGAAGAGACAGAAATTGTAAAAAGGAACTAAACAAATTGTGGAGGTGAAAAGTACAGTAACACATTATAATCAAACTGCTGAAAGCCAGGAAAAAAAAAAATCTTGAAAGCAGCAAGAGAAAAGTAATTCATCATGCACAAAGGATCCTTAATAAGATTATCAACTCATTTCTCAGCAGAAACTTTGGAGGCCAGAAAGCAGTGGGATGATATATTCCAACTGCTGAAAGAAAAAAATCTGTCAACTGAGAATTTTGTATTCAGTAAAACTATCCTTCAAAAATGAAGGTGAAATTAAGGCATTCCAAGATAGATAAAAACTGAGGGAGGTCATTACCAATAGACCTGCCCTATAACAAATGCTAAAGGCTGAAATGAAAAGATGCTAGACAGTAACTGAAAGCCATGAGAAATATAAAGATCTCCAGTAAAGTTATATACATGGACAAATACAACAACCAGTATTACTGTATATTTGGTTTATAACTCCACTTTTTATTTTCTTCAGTATTTAAAAGACAAAGGCTGTGATATCAAAAACATAAATGAGGGAGACATACAGATATAAAGGAGTATCATATGCAATTTGAGCTAGACTGGGATAGACTGTTAGAATTTTAGGATGTTATAGGTAATCTCTGTGGTAACCCCAAAGAAAATACCTAGAAATATATACAAAAGGAAATGAGAAGGCAATCAATACTATCCCTAGGAAAAAATCAATTAAACACAAAGGAAGGCAATAATGGAGGAAATGAGTGACAAAAATAGCTAAGACATACACAAAATAAAATAGCAAAAGTAGTTCTTCCCTGTCAGTACTTTAAATGTAAAAGGATTAAACTCCCCAACCACAATGCACAGAGTAGCTGAATGGATAAAAAAACAAAATCCAACCATATGCTTCTACAAGAGACTTACTTTAGATCTAAGGGCCCATATAGACTTAAAGTAAAAGGATGAAAAAAGATTCCATGAAAAGAGTAACCAAAAGGGAGGAGAATATCTACACTAATATCAGACAAAACAGACTTTAAGTCAAAAACTGTCACAAGAAATAAAAACATGTATCACTGTATAATAATAAAAGGATCAAGTCACCAGTAAAATAAAATAATTGTAAACATATACACCAGAGCTCCTAAATATATGAAGCAAACAGAACTGAAAGGAGAAGTAGACAGTCATACAATAACAGTGGGAGAATTCAGTATCCTCTTTCAATAAAGGATAGAAAAATCAGACAGAGATCAATAAGGAAATAGGGGACTTGAACAACACTAAAGACCAACTGGACCTAACAGGCACATACAGACCACCCAACAGCAGCAGCATACACGTTCTTCTCAAGTGCACATGGAACATCCTCCAGGATAGATGACATGACAGGATACAGAACATGTGTCAATATATTTTAGAAGATTACAGTCAAAGTATATTTTCTGATCAAAATGGAATGAAACTAGAAGTTAATAGGAGAAGGAAAGATGGAAAATTCTCAAACACATGGAAACTACACACCACACTCTTTTTTTTTTTTAAGATTTTATTTATTTGAGATAGAACAAGAGAGAGAGCATGAGCGGGGGCAGGGCAGAGGAAGAAGGAGGCTCCCCACTGAGCAGGAAGCCCAATGCAGGGCTTGATCCCAGGACCCTGAGATCATGACCTGTGCCAAAGGCAGATGCTTAACCAACTGAGCCACCCAGGGGCCCCTAAATACCACACTCTTAAACAACCAATGGGTCATAAAAGAAATCAAAAGGGAAATCAGAAAATATCTTGTGACAAATGAAAATGAAAACACAACATATCAAAACTTATGGAATGCAATGAAAGCAGTACCAATAGGGAAAATGATACACGTAAATGCTTACATAAAAGGAGAAGATTTCAAACCAACAACCTAACCGTACATCTTAAGGAACTAGAAAAAGAACAAATTATTTATTTATTTATTTTTAAACATTTTCTTTTTTTAAATTTAAATTCAATTAGCCAACATGTCATTAGTTTCAAATGTAGTGTTCAGTAATTCATCAGTTGCATATAACACCCCATGCTCATCACATCAGGTACCCTCCTTAATGCCCATGACTAAGTTACCCCATCCTCCCACCCACCTCCCTCCCTATTTTTAAATATTTTTAATTTTTATTTATTTATTTTTAAGTATCCTCCACACCCAGCATGTAGCCCAATATGGGGCTTGAACTCATGACCCTGAGATGAAGACCTGAGTGGAGATCAAGATTCGGACGCTTAACTGACTGAGCCACCCAGGTTCCCCAAAAAAGAATTAAACACAAAGCTAGAAGAAAAGAAACAATAAAAATTAAAGCAGGATAAATAGAGGATAGAAAAACAAGAGAGAAAAGTCCATGAAACCAAGAGTTGGTTCTTTGAAAAGATCACCATAACTGAAACCTTTAGCTATCTTGACTAATAAAGAGAAAAGACTCAAATTATAACTAAAATCAGAAATGAAAGAGGGAACATTACTACTGATTTTATAGAATGAAAATGCTTATGAGAGTATTATGAACAGTTGTACACTAATAAATTGGATGACCTAGATGAAATCAACAAATTCCTAGAAACACATAACCTACAAAGAAGAATTATGAAGAAATCTAAAGACCTATAACTAGTAAGGAGACCAAATCAGTAATCAAAAATCTCCCAAC